GCATGGATCAATTACTTAACCGACCCAAGATATGACCCGATCGGACTTGGATATCGTCATCAACTTGCAGAAGGATACTGTAACCCTAACAAGCTCTGTCATCACCTCCAGCTGATTCATTCCAACTTGATTCAACTGCTAAACTGCTATCAATTGGTTTTCTCACAGTTGTCTCGAACCTAACTATAACAGCAACAAGGTCCGATCAAGCACCAATAAAAACGGCAACAGTGACTGGGTATTTCTTCGATGAGCCAGCCACTAGATGCGACAACGGCGAGTGATTCTCATCAATAAACTTCTGACGATTAACTCTTCAAACAGAACATGATTACCGAATAATATACATTTTTATGGTTGTGGCTCTGATACCATGTAGAATATATATAGGTATACAGACAAAAGAATCAGAGAGAGACAGAGAGAGAATAAGAGAATAGGGCAAAGAACTTAAGTCACCATTCCTCATAGAACAATATATAGGTAGGTATAGGGTTTATACCCTATTACAACTCACTAACAGTTCCAATCAATCAAATTATGAACCCGATATCTCAATTCTATTTATTTAATGTTGCCACTTGTAAAGGGTTGAACTGGCATTCATATCACCAAAATAATTGGAGCTAGAAATCCAACTTTATACATGAGCTTAAAATTCATAAGCCTAGAATAGAAAACCAGCCATGCACTAACCAAAAACTTAAATTGAAAATGTTACGCGGTCCATGGCACATGCAGTTTTCAGCAAAAGAATCTTCCAATATAATTAACCAAAAGAAAAAAAAACATGACAATGTGCGAATTGACAGATACATTTATCTGATATTCCACTTTTTTCTTTGCACCAAGGAAGTGAGTAGGATGTGTGAATTATGATCAGTTGATCACACAACACAGTTTATATTCTGAGAATTCCTAGTAACACAGCTTATCAATAGAGGAAAATGTAATAGAGAGAAAAAAAAAAGAACCATGCTTGTACCTGGGACCCAGAACCAATGAATGGATCACTTCCCCGCAAGCCATCTACAAGCTCTGTATACAATTGTTCCTTTGGAGTTGCTGCAGGTGCACCAAAATAGGAGAACTCTACAACATCAACATCACACCATACACCCCCAGATCCCTGCGAAGCAACATAAAAAATGTATTCAACTTCTAACTATTAGAGTTTGCCTAAAGATAAAGAAGCTTCTAAAATTTCTAAGATGGTAACTTATTTTTTCAGTTTAAATCTTTTTCACAATTTTTTGAGAATTTAGCTATCAACAAACGTCAGCCTGTCTCTAACCAAAAATATTGGTTTAACTTGAAAGACTTCTCAATGTTATATTTTGAGCAGCACCAAGACTGATGTCAGATTCAATATGTCAAACCTATAAGTAGCAGACTGAGTAATTATACATTAAGCTCCAAATAATACCAAGAAAAGCCAGAAGAGCTCAGATCTCAGATTTATGCTTTTCTGTTTTTATTTCTAACCAGTATTTCAATTACTTGTCCACCTTAGTTTGGTTTCTTTAACACTTTTTATTTCTATTATTAATAAAATTATCGTTCTTATCAAAAATAAAAAAGATTTCAGACCTCAAGAGCAGATGGTAGACATTGGATATGGCTGAGCCACTGCTTGTGAACTTTTCTGGCGACAAAGACAAGAATAGCTGGTATATCAGTCAATACTCCACGCCGAATCCGAAACCCAATTGCCGTGCCAAGGCTAAAGCGGCGCAGATTTTTGCTATGACATGCCCTAATAGTCATCAGTTCAAGCAAGGAGGAGGCTTGCCGTCCCGATGGCAATCGCCCAAGAGTTTCAGGCAGAACACCCTTCTGAAGGTTCCCAAAGTGATTTGCCCTATCTTCTGCTGCATTATTTAACCGGCTGGAAGTAGGCCATGAGAAGTAGGGAGCATTGCTCTCGGAGTGCTGACCACCTGATGTTAAGCCTTGTAGTGGTGGTGGACTTGATGAAGGCAAATTGGGATGATTACAGTAATTTCTTTCCAGATCCAATGCCGACTCCTCTGATGGTGTCGATCCAGAGGGAAGAAATCTTAAATCCAGCCTTGTCCTGTCCATCTTTCACCTCTCCTACGTTATGAATCAATTCAATTCTCCAAAATTGTGCAAGAAAAGACAGAAATAAAACAGAAATCTCCAGTTATGCCAGAACCCTTTTTCATTTTCTACCACTAACTAAAATAATTGCTTCCAACAACAAGAAGTTAAATTTGGATGCAATTAGACAAAATTCAATATGAAGAAGCAAGTTTATCATATGATGGTAAGGAATTGTTTAATTACACTAACGTTATCCTAATATGCACTGTGGTTGAATAACAAACTTTAACATGTAACAGAATAACATAAAGAAGACACCCTGAATTTAGAGCATGACAAGACATGATTACAATAAAATTATGCAACATAAAAAGGAACCAAATACGGTATAATTAAGGAATCCAGAGAAGACACCAAACAAGTTGAGAAACCAACAACCAATGTCAACGATAAGTATAACTGCAAAAAAACTAGCAGCATAAACGTCAATAGAATTAAACATAAATAACAACTGCTACCTCACACTTTCAAAGAGATTAATAGAGCCTGAAATGCGAAGCTAGTAAGCAACGAAGCAATATTAAATTCAGACTGAAACTTTGTTAATATTCCAATTCCCAGCAAATTTGAAGAAGTGAAGCCAAGAAAGATAAATGACAATCAATCACATAGCAAAACAACCCAATATAAAAAAGATATCAGCTTTGGCACAAGAAAGACCACCTGATGACAGGAAGCTGATTAGCTTTGGGTTTGTGGCGTCCCCCAGGGTGGGGAGTGTTTTGTTGTCAACCTCAAAAATTAAGTAAAACCCAGATAGACAGGAAACAAAAATGAAATTTTTGACGCAAATTCACTGAAAACTCACCTATAGTCAATGTTGAAGTTGTGGATGAAGCATTCAAAACAAATCCCCTTGAAGATTTTCATGCCCTAGACAAAAACTCCCAGCGTAACCATCTGCCAGATTAGATTGCAAAAATGAATCTCTTTCTTAAAAAGCCCATTTTGTCTGTCTGCATACCTCTGTGTGTGTGTGTAGGTGAGAGAGAGAGAGAGGCCGGCCTTTATTTATTTAGAAGCGGAAAATTGAATTTAGAATTAAAGAAACCAATAAATATCTGTATTCTATAGTATCTGCTGGTGTTGAGTGAGAACTATTTATTTGTGTTTTTTCCAAACCTTTTTTCCTTTTTGCTGTCCCTGTCCAATTTATTTCTTTACTTTTTTGCCACTTATAGTTATGGGTGACCACGCTCCCTGACGAGAGTAGAGGTGAAGGCATGAGAAGATTTTAATGGAGTAGAAATAAGATGGGAGAGGAGAGAGGAGAGAGGAGAGAGGAGAGAGGAGAGAGGAGAGATTTTAAAGGAAAAAAAATAAGAGAGGGAGATTTTCTTGGATACCATTTACATTAAGTTTGGTGGGCGTGTGGGTGGGGGATTAGGGCCCAACTATATTTGCTCCCCGAAAGTTGCACAATTCTCCCCAAATAATTCAATTCCCACTTATCAACAGGGGGGGTAGTGTTCTTTTATCTTTGATTAATATTATTTGGATCTAAAAATTTGACTTAATTTACTGATCTAATAATGTAACTTTATTAAAATTATTGGATTCACACTAAATTTTAATGTTTGATGGACCCTACAGTTAATCAAAATGTCATAATGAAATAAGTCGATAAATTAGGTCAATAAATTAGGTTCCAATAACATTGATTTTTATTTATTGGATAATATTTTTTGTTATTATTTATTTCATTGAATTTCTATAACGTGATGATTTCTTGATATTTCTAAAATGACACAAATATCCCTTAATGAAGTTTTAAGGTTAAAGTGGTTAATAAGAATTTTATGTGCAATTTTTTCTTCTTTTTTTTTACAGGACCTATAGTTGAATAAGTTGAAATGTACAATTCGAAACCCATTTTTCTTGATGTATATCAACATAAAAAGAGTATTATGCTACTTGCTCTAAACTCGAAATTTGTATATCATTTCCAAAATTTTAGCAATTTTTTGTATATTTTATCAAAAATTCCTAGGAATAGAAGTATAGTTTATCCATGGGTTTTTAATACCAGAATCATAACTATCACAACTTCTGTTCCATAGATATGCTAGATTTAATGGGCATCATCATTAGGAAATTGCTATTTTAACAATTCAAAACTTTGCATCCACGATCCCTCATTTTTTGATGGACTTCAGTGAAAATTATTTTCCATACGTTATGTATAAAGTTTATTGAAGTTTTTGTCAAGAAGGTTGCTGTTGCACAGCAAAAGAGAGCCAAAAACTGTCATTGTCCTTGATTTATCATTAGTCCTTTTACAAATGTGGACGGGGCGTTATCTTAACAGTTGAAATCTGGAAAGCACCTTATCTTTTCACTCTCTCACACACGCGCAATTAGGATGGTTGCTTCCATTATTTATCCTTACAAAGCCTATCTCAATGGAACACCTTTAGAAAATTGCATTTTTAGAAGTTCAAATCAATCTCTCTCTCACACACAACTCACTCGGTAGCTGTCATTTTCTGTTCATTATCTGCTCCTGCTTTATTGCTCATGTCTTCCTAATATGTCTTTCAATTCAATCATCAATTTTCCCCTTCAGATATAGTCAAAAGATCTAGACAATGTGCAGGGTTAAAAGAAACTTTAAAACGATGAAATTGAATCTCTCTGTTAAGGAGTTTTTTTTTTTTTTTTGTTGGGTTGTTTTGTAACGTAAAATGATGATGGAAAAATTGATACAGGTGAAAAGATCATTTAGTTCAATTCCAACTAAGCTTGGTAGAAGTTCTAATTTGAACAGGACTGTAGCTTCTAACTCCCAGCTCCCAACACACTAGCTTGTCAGCTTGCAACATGGCAGAGCCTTACCTCCTCGCGATTTGACTAATTCAAATCCAGTTGAGACTCCTGCTCCGGATGGGGAACCAGCACTCAATACAACACTTGTACCGCCCATATTCAAATTATGGATAAGAATCCTCCAACAACCTAATCCCATGGCCTATAAAAGGGAAGACATGAGATAATCTAGGTAAGGCATTTGAACTCCCAATTTCATATTCTTCCTCTTGAATACCTTTCTGACTTAGGCATCGAAATTTTGACCCCCAAAGTTCGCCTCTCATCTCTGACTTCTTTTTCAGCTGATCGAAGTCAGACGAACTTCTATAACAACCCGTGCTAGTGAACAGTAGAACAATATGGATGACCATACTGCTTTTATCAAGATTTTGATCATGTCCCAATTGTTTCTATACCGTGTTTCATCTAAAAATGTAGAAACATCTTGATGGTGTGTTCTGTGCAGCTAAGTAGAGGAAAATGGTTTGGGGATCTTGTTGTAAATGTTAAAAAGAGATTATTAGGATATGTAGTCAGAGGCTCTTGGGAGTTGAACTATCAATCCAGAGAAATAACAATGAATGAAGATCAATAGACATAGAGTTTATAGCGGTTCGGATACTACCATAATCATCATCACTATGTACATTCATTCATAAAATAATAAATATCTTAAAAAAATCTCATGTACATGCCTTTTAAATATAAACAATTTTTTGTTACAAAAATTATACAAGGTCAAAAGTAAAAATATTCAAAGGACTACGACGTCAAAAATAAGAGTCACAGTCCGGTTCTGTCATCAAAGCGGACCAGTAGGGGGCCTTCGGTGAAAGCATGTGGTGTACTTGAAAATTGTTCCCATAAAGGGTGAGTCAATGCTTAATAGGATAACTCCTATTGTAACACCCCAAATCATGGTACCATATCTGCCACAAATGATGAAGAGAAACTAACAACAATCGCATAACTCTGATACATTTATATACATACAAATTATGTTTAAAACACCACGATTACATTCCAATCGACCATCTAAACTTGTCAGTAGACTCCTCTTATCTTTAATGTTTTTCCTGAAAAGTCATTGAGACTATTAGTGAGAGCAAGGATACAATCAATAATCATGAACACAACAAGAGATAAAGAAAAACACTTTATTTATTTAGAAACAATCTTAACCATGTTGCAATTACCAACATTAAATGTTACACTTCACCACTTACACTTTATTCAGATACATCACATAGACATAACTTGTATAAATCATATAGGCAAAATTTACCGCTAAAATAGTTACTTTTACACAATTAAATTATGCCACACAACGAATACCCTCGCACACACCCCCGGTCACACAAGAAATTCAAGCTACACAAATAATTCTCATCACTTAGACAACATATGCCACATAATTAATTCTTATCACTTAGATGACTAAAGTCAGATAGATACTTCTCATTCTTGTCACTTAGACGACTTACATACGTTATTTAATTCCTTCATGTAGATGGCGTTGTTAATCAACTCGAACCACAACGTTAATTTCGGTCACATAGATGACTCGTATCAAGCAATTAATTCTTGTCTTATAGGTGACTTACAAACACTTAATATTTCCTGTCACATAGACAACACACAACTACTTAGTAATTCCCATCACATAGACGTTATACAATCACCTAATATTTCCCGTCACGAAGATGATACACAAACTTAGTATATCTCGCCCCGTAGATGTCACACAATCACTTAATATTTTCCATCACGAAGATGACACACAAATTTAATATTTTTCATCACGTAGACGTCACACAATCACTTAATATTTCCTGTCACGAAGACGACTCATATGTTTAATACTTTTTCGTCACGTAGATGACACACAAACTTAGTATTTCCTGTCACATAGACGTCACACAATCACTTAATATTTTTCGTCATGAAAACGACTCATATACTTAATATTTTCCAGTCACGTAGACATTTCACAGTCACTTAATATTTCTAGTCACGAAGACAATACATAAACTTAATATTTTTCTTCACGAAGACAATTCATATGACACTTTTGTCTTCTGGACAACTTGTGTATTTATAATATTCTCAATCGCTTTTATTACTCATGCTCTTATTGCAACTATCACCAG